TTTTAGCAGATACTATCTGGTTCTGTTGAGCTTGTTAGTTTAATGAATGGGTATGAGTTAAAACTTACGATTCAAAGTTATCAGAATTTAATAAATAGACAGATATTACCAACTTGAAGGAGTTTGTATTTCAGACTATTATTTCCTCTCTCTTATCTGAACGCAGCCATATTTCTGTCAGGGATGAACACACTGTTCTCTTTCCATAAGTTTTGACATTTTCACATTTGTGTGAGGCCTTGGACCTTGTTATGGTGATCCATTTCCATAGCCTGATTTTTTTTTTTTTTTTTTGGAAATGTTCTTGAAAACTGATATTATCTCAGAGTCAAAATGCTCCTTTTTTTGGAGTTCTTCTGAGCCATTTGGTTACTCCGTAGCATGCAGTAGGATTTATGTTTCTCCTGCTCACACTCAGTGCCATTAATCACTTGGAACTTGGGAAATGGAGGAAGTGCAGGGCTGCCTATCAAGGGTTGAGGAAAGTGAGACAGAACATTCTACCCTATCTTTCCTGACGATCAAGGTCGATGGAATTCACTGCTGGGTTATTGGGTTAGTTATTGGGTTTAGCTCTGAAAACTTGATTCATGGTTTTCGTTGCTTTCGTATTTTATGTGCCTCCTTTTTGTCATCGAACTTGGGATTTCACTCCAATACTTACCCAGTTACTGAGAAAAAGTATTTTTAATAGCGCTCTAACATAAACATTTAAGATTATACATGAAATTGTGCTGTTTGCATTCTTATTTTGTCATTTTAATAATTAACATTTTTTCACAAGATTATTTTAAATAGGTGTTTTAAAGATGTGTTATGATTTGCCTGTATGGATGCAGGCATAAAAATGGGAATTTATGAATCATATAAACATACTGAAATAGTGGTGTGGAGATTAATAAGAGATGTGATGATGATGGCAATGATTATATGTTTGTGTGTGATATGTGTAGTATTAGGCTGCTTCAAGAGTAGAATACTGGAAACATATTTGTCATCCAAGAGCTTCATATAGTCTCTTCTGATTGTTTAGAGCTTTAGCATGAGAGAGTGTTAAATGAGGGAATGGGAATATGGGAAAAAGTTATCTTGCCAAAGATTTGCCTTTCACTTATATTCATAAATAGCGAGGATGACTAATGTCCTCTGGAAAGCAAGAGAGCCTTCTATAAAGTCATATTTCTCTCCGTGGAACATCACCATCTATGAATTAAAGCAATTCTATAGTCATACTGTAAGGAGAGGGCTAAAATGAAGTGTGCGTTTAAAAAAAAAATCTTTGCTATTCTCACTAGGTTGGAATTAAAAGTAGAAAATAGATATTGCTATTGGGTGTATTTTGAATATGTTTTTATTTTTTTCGCCACGAAAAGATAGAAGTTTTATTAGAAGAACAAATGTCAAAGAATCTCAAACTATTTCTGAATTTAAAACTTTACTTTCTACTATAACATGAAGATTAACCTTTATTTAATATTTGACGAAATACAGAATAATTTACAGTGCCGTAACATGTACTAAATGCCATAGTTTTAGAAAACACTGTCCTTAAATATTTAAATAATTTATTCACGTGTGATTTGAGAAATATCATTGCAAATCCTACTTTATTATTTAATAAATTAATGTGTCAAATCTGATTTTAAGAACAAGCTTTTTAAAATAAATATGATGGATTTAAGTAATTTCCTTGACAAATGAAAATAATTTTTCCTGTATATCTCATGGATGTTCTTAGTAGTTGAATATTTATAAACAATAATTTAGGGCCTATTGAATGCAGTTACCATTTGTATTGCTAATAATATTATTTAAACCTAAAACAATGTAGCCATATGGCTCATTATGCTTATTTGATTATTCACTTGCTTAACATTTGTTTACCTGCTTCAAGAGCAAACTAATGACAGTCCACTTGTATCACCATGATACCAGCTCTTCATCTAAATTATGTTTATATAATAATTCCAGAGAGTTTATTCTTCAAATTATTATTGCAGTGATTTCAGTTATGCCTCTGAGTTATTTATAAGCAATCATTAATGTTCCTGTTTTCTGCTTAATTAGGGTGCAAATTTGGAATAGGAGTAGGGAAGAAGAGGTTTCTTAGGTTTCATCATTTTACTATTGATTCTCTCAGTGATGTGACAATTATATTTGATTTCCAATTTAGCTTTAAAATACCACTGAATCACTTAGGTAGATATGTCATCATGATCATCAACATCATTTTTCTCATTCCTTTTGACAAATAGCAGCACACCAAATAGAGTAGCAGAAAACCATTGTTCTCAGATTATATGCTAGAACCATCATAAAGCCCATTGCATGAAATCTATGAAAGCCCAGGATGCTCAACGTTTATTTTAAGGGCATCTAAACTGTGGCAGTCCTTTGGCATGTCTGTACTGCAGTGTACAAGACAACATCAGGGCTCAGTGTTGTTTCTCATAATCTTAGGAAAAGCTGGAACTATTTGGTCCAACTCTTTCTGAACAAAGGCACAGCAAACGATGTCTTCTGGTCTTCACTGAATTGCTTATTTTGGTAGGCAGTCCTAGTAGAATAATGTTTTCTTTGGATACCATCTTTGCAGGAATGCAACTTTCTACATTAAATATGATACATTGGGTTGTGGACTGTAGTTTGCGATAATGTTATAGGGAGTATAATCACAATTAGACAATATAAAAAAAGGAAAAATATGCAGTTGGGTGGTTTGCAAAAGCCAGTGGCATGGTTAAATTTTTTATTCTTTAAACAAAAATATATTGACCTAATGTGGATGTCAGCTTGATGTCTTAAATAGGTTTGCCAGTGATCACTCTGAATCTAACATGCTGACTCTTATTTCTGACAGCTCACTTCCTCTCACTGGTTTCCAAAGTGGATTCTATTTCCTCAAATTTAGAAAGTCGAGTTTTCCTCCCAACCAATGACCAATGTGCTTGTCAGGTATGGAAAGCTCACAGCATTTTAAATACTTTGTCACATTTGGGAACATTCTTTCTTATGATTGTTTGAGCACTGATTATTTTTTCACAGGTTACATTTTATTCCTTCTTCAGCCAAATGAGTAGCAAATTAACCGTAGGACTTCAAAATGCATGTGGTGGTCCCATTCAGCATTTATGGCAAAACACATCCGGGCTCCAAAATTCATGGGAGAGAAACGTCGTCAAAATCCAGAGCTCACAGAGATTTCGGGTATGCATGTTCTATTCTCTAACTATATCTTTGAAGGAAAAATAAGATCATTAATACCAGGTGAATTGAAAGTAAGGTGATTGTCCCAGTTTGCCAGGGACTGAGGGATTTCCCAGGACTTTTAAATGCTGAAAGTGGACAGTCTTAGCCAAATTCGGATGGCCATCACTCTAAAGGACACTTTTACAACAAGGTTTTGAATTTATATATCAAAACTGAAGTTGACATATTTTAAAATATATTGATATATCAGTAAAATATAACCTTCTAATTCTCTCCTAATTTCTTGAACCTCCTCTCCCCCACACTTTGCTCTCTCTCTTACTGTCCCAACCTCCTCTTTGTTTTCATTTCTTCTTCCCAAGAATCATTTTCCTTCCAGACTTTTCTCATGCTTTTAAGAGAAGAGGGTCATGTTTGGTAATGAGGAAAGAGATTGTTTGATTTAAATACTAATTCCAAATGCTGTCAAAGTAGAATAATTGTCATATGCATTTTATGGATAAACTCAATTCAACACAGCCCTTATTTTCTAAGATAATTTTGAAAATTAAAGCCAATGCAAGCCTATAAAAGACACACTTATTTATGCAGCCTAATAAAACCTATGCATGGTGGAAATTATAATCTAATGATTATTACAAGAGTTCTTGGAGAAGTATTGCATATTTTAACATTTGGGACAGCCAAGCACATTTTTTCCAGTTAAAAATGAGATCTCAAAGCATTTTATTCCTAATAAATTTACTTGCTAAACCTAGTTTGTGAGCCAATTTACTCCAAATAGGGTTCTTTCATCATCTATTATAAAAATGATATAATAATCAATTTTATAAATTTGATATAAATCAAATCATCTGATATATGATGGATTTAGCACTTGCTTAAATGTAGGGATCGAATTGGATTGAATTTTACTTTCACTTACTTTGAGTGACTAAGAGGAAAAGAATAGTATTTTCACTTAAAGTATAAATTATAAGATAAAAGAATGACATATTTTCTTATATGATGGATCATAAAATCACTATGATTTGGAATTGTTAGGCTTTGGTAAACTTAACAGGGAATCAAAAAAGGTTTCAAAAAGCCCTTAGTAGATGGTTTCATGACACCTAGATGATAGGACTTACAGATATTCTTTGGTTGGAAACACAATTTGGTAGTTTGAGACTTCGTTGAAGTCAAATATCAAGTGTGTGGTGTGGAGGATGAGGGTGGAATGCCGTCTTAACCTATTAGGCATTTAAATGTTTCTATGAATGATTGATTCATTTACTTAAAAAAGATTTATTTGGAGCATTGGGATGCACTAGGCATGATGCAGAAAAGATTCCCCACACCAGTGGTCCCCAACCTTTTTGGCACCAGGGACCAGTTTCATAGAAGACAATTTTTTCACAGACGGGGGAATGGTGGGATAGTTTTGGGATGATTCAAGCGCATTACAATTATTGTGCTGTCAAACTTCTCTGCTGATGATAATCTGTATTTGCAGCTGCTCCCCAGCGCTAGCATCACTTCCTCAGTTTCACCTTGGATCATCGGACATTAGAGTCTCATATGGAGCACGTGACCTAGATCCCTCGCATGCACAATTTATAGTAGGGTTCACGCTTGTATGTGAATCTAATGCTGCTGCTGATCTGACAGGAGGAGGAGCTTATAGGGTGATTTGAGAGATGAGGAGTGGCTGTAAATACAGATGAAGCTTCAGCTCGCTCTCCTCCTGCTGTGTGGCCTGGTTCCTAAAAGGCTGCAGACCGGATTGGTACCACCTGTCTGTGGCCCGGGGTTTGGAGACCACAGCCCTACACCATGTTAAGAGGAGAGGTCTGGTAGGTGTGGAGAGGAGATACTATGTGTTTATGTGCGCCTGGGCCCTGAAGACATCTGCGGCTTTCAAGAGGTGTGGTGCGCAAAATGAGTACCCCCCTACCCCCAGCACCAATAGTACATTTAATTTGCTGCGGATGTTCAAGTGTTATTAACTGCCGGAGGAGTTTCTAGTTTATTTTTTATACTTCTTCATCTCCTGTGTCTACTTGTCTTTTCTCAACAACAACAAAAGCAACAAAACAGAGCCAAGATTGCTTTTGTGGGGACTGAGTCAGGTCAAGTAGACACTGAAGGATGCACTTGCTGCTATTCCTTCTCTGCATGCTTATAGGGACTTAATGACTGAGATGGGAATATTGTCTGTGTGTATACACTACCATTATGTATATAGCTCTTTTCACTTTGAAAGAGAGCTGCTGATAAAAGGGTCTTAAACTGTCTTTGTCTAGCTTTGTGCCCTGTTATATCTCATTGTCCATATATTCAGGTCAAGGTCTTTATTAGTAGCATAACAGAGGTTTGGGTGTTGGGCAAAACTGGATCTTGTAGGTCAAACCTTTCAAAATAACTCCCCTGTTTTCCTCAGCTGCCCATTCCCAGATGGCGCATTGTGAGGTCTGCTAATTAAACATGTACAGTACATAAATATAAAACTTAAAACTCTCGAATACGTCATCTCCAAGGTGATTCAGTTATAGCTGAGGCAGCAAGGTTATTCACTTGAGTGCTTTAAATGTAGTGGTGGCTTCAACTAAAGCAGATTAATTTGTTTCCCAAAATATTTTCCTGCTGATATGAAAACAGTGCTTCTTCCTTAAAGGTTTTGCAAAAATTAGGAGACCTTACGGCTCTCTTAGGATCCTTTGGCTCCACCAGTCTTTTAAGATGGCAGGTATGTTTCAGTTCTATCCTGTCAGCAAGTGAGCAGATGTTCATTTGCTTTTGTTCAGCAGGCCACAGAGAAGTGCTGTGCTTGTAACATGGCCTGGCCACCATCTAGTATCTTGTTCCTGAAAAGCTTCTGTGAGAGGCTTATTTGAGAGAATTTTGCAATCAGCATCTCCAGACAGTATCTGCTGCCTCATCAACTTACAAGCCTCTGAGAATTATTCCGTTTTCTGCAATTTCCCCTCTGTGCTGACTTCTGATAGTTTAAATGAAAACCATGCATGCTTCCTTTAGAAATATCCAAATGGGAGATTTCAGTCCCTACTGGAGCCTAGTTCAGCATGGGCTTTTGAGAAAGGCTTATCACCTCCATCTGTAAATTACTAGGTCCATCCTTTAATAAAATTGAAGCATGTTAATTTCTGAGGGACTACGGCTACATAGACAAGGAATGGTGTTCATCTATTTAGTCAACAAAGCCGGAAGCATTTCAAAAAGTTACTGGAGATGTTTAACGAAAAATGACAGCTGGCATTTATCAAGCCCTTACTATGTGCAAGGCACTGTGTTTAGTTCTTTGTATGCATAATCTTATTGACCCTTCGCAAAAATCCCCTGAGGTCGAAAGACAATTTATCCCATTGTTCACTGAGAATTGCAAGCTTTAGAGAGTTAAATAACCTACTAGATCCCATGCCAACTTAGAATCTAGGGTAGTTTTATTTCAGATCTTAATCATTTAGTCACTGAGGCATAATAGTATTTTTTTATCACATTAAAGCATTATAGGATTTTAGAAGACATAAAATATTAAAAAACCCAACCTCCAGATTTGGTCATATCTGTTGTGTATGACTCATTCCATAATCTTTTGTCTGCTTTGTTGGATGAAACAACAATGTTGGGCATTGCATGCTGCTGATTAATTACAATCACGTCTTTCAAAATTGCAGACATAAGCAATGAATTTCATTATTGTACTAAAATGTTCAAGGAGGCAAAGAATAAAACAAGATAACCATATAGTGGAAATTTAGTGCCCAGTTCAAGTGGAAATTTCTCCCACCACCCTCTTTTTGTTGTTCTTGAAGGGAGTGCATGTATTGGTTTTATGGATAGGAAGGAATGAACACTATATATTATGAAGTATATAACTAATTATAGTTTTCAAGTTGAATATTTGGATTGTTAAACTAAATGAGCCTAGATAAGCAGTCCCTGCCTGAATTATAAAAAGATATTGAAGCATTTTTAATATGCTATCACCTACTTGTCATTTCTTTGATGTTTCATTGAGAAATGCTGGAGAGTTCTCAGCAGCCTCCGATTCAGAAAGAATAGGCTTTATTAATATGGACAAAAGATGAGTTGTTCATTAAAAATATATAAATTGTTTTCTTAATTTTAAAAATTCTACCCTTACTCTTCAAAATCTTAATCTGGAGCACTTTTACCTTTTAATTCACACATGATGGGAAAATAATTACTGCCATCTTGTTCTGTTTCAGATGTTTGCTTGGGAAATAGATTGAATGTATACCACTAGTTAAGAAAACTCTAATACAGGACATACAACCATAAGTGTTTCTAATAGTTATAGTAAAGTAATCCAGGTAGTTTTATGTCTATTCTCCATCTACCGTCATAGTTTCCTCTAACAGTTAAATCAAGTGGCTTGAGTGTTGACCCATTAGCTCCATTCAGAGGTCATCTACTACTCTTAAAATGTCTGGGGTGAAAGGAATTCGTCTCACATTTGCTAATGAGTTAGTGCAGGCTGTATCTGACTTCTGTGACATTGCCGAACTCAACTCCATTCTCTCTCTTATGATCTGCTTTTATTTTGCTATTTTGCTCCTCTTTTCTTCCTTTTTTTTTCAATTTTCCTCAAAATCATCAAAATAACAAGGTGGATGTTTGGAAAAAGCTTTTTCCAAAGTCTAGGGTAAAACAAAGAATGTTAGATACGACTTTTCTTAAAAATGCAACTATCATATGCCAACACAGCCCCTGGCTAATTCTCTAGACCCTAATCGAAATCTCTGGAAAATCTTTTTTGTTTAAATCTGTTTAGCTAGACTGTTTAGTTATGCCTGATGGGTCTTGTGTTTTCTTGCCACACAGACCCATTAGCAAATTCCCCTACACTTAGAGAAATAGTTCTTTCCTTATGAACAAACTATTCCTCTGGCTGGGCCAGGGAGCTCAAATGGCAGCTGATTTTCACAATAACTTTACCAAGTTAAATGTAATTTAATGAAATCAAGTAAATGTATAGTATCTATTGCAGACTCTAATAAGGAGTGGATTAAGTCAAGACGGTCATTTAAAAGTGCTTCAATAGATCAGGCACGAGGATATGGGACTGGAAATAGGAATGGAAGGAAAATAGAGCTTAATAGATGATCTTGTCTGATGAGACAGGAGACTGGAGGAGAAAGTGATTCTAAAGGTCATTTGGAATTTTGAGCATCGGAGAGTAGCAGTCATTGGGTTCCATTGTCAGAAAATGAGAGTGAGGGCAGAAGCTCCAATTGAGGAGGAAAAACAGCATACTATGAATTAGAAGGGACTTGTGTCATCTCAGTGAAAATGTCCAGCAGGCTGTAGAAATATGGGAGGAGAGCTCAGGAGAGAGATTAACATGTGTGATGTAAATTTGTGATGTATCAGCCTGGGTGTCAGTTGAAGCTCTGAGTAGGAATGCTTTGGTCTTTTGGGCGGTGGGGTGGGGGAGAGTGTAAAGAAATACAAGAAGGGACTGGTGATTATTTTTTCTTCTTATGTCTACTGCTCTTTTTAAATATTCCTTATTTCTATTCTACTTATTTCTACTTCTTTTGTTAAATATGGTGACTACACGCATATTCTTAACTCCTGGCAAGAACTAGGGAATGTCTCTACATGGAGAAAACTTTTAAAAAGAATAAAATGTTAATTTGTAGAGAATGGATTTTCATCTGTAAACAACACCCTGTATAATAGCCTAAATATTTTAATACATCTGTGTTATAATAATAGTAGCTAGCATTTAATGCTACCTATATACCAGGTGCTGTTTTAACATGTAATAACTCATTTTTCCTTGTGTAAATTCTTACCACATAGGTTATTGTTTTTATCATTACCATTTTACAAAAAAGAAAAGTGAGCTACAGAGTTGTTAAGTCAGTTCTATAGGTCCTGTTGCTATTAAGTGGTATAGCTGGGATCCTGAACCCCAGTAGTTGGTTTTATACACACACACACACACACACACACACTTTAAATTACTATGCTGTATTGCCTCCATATAAAACCATTCCTACAAAACAATCTTTGATGGGCCTTTCCAACTTGGTCCTATTTTTAAGTAGTCACAGGTTTTTCTGTTTTGTGTGAAGAAAACATGACTTTTTTGGGCTACGTATTGGCAAGTTTCTCCGTAGGTTATGTATGTTTCTCACTGGATTCTTAATAGAGGGGTATATAGCATCTGGTTTGGAAGGAAATATATTAGTACAGCATGTTTCACAGGAACAAAAGGGAATGTATCTCAGAAAAATGATCTGTTATGGTTACTGCGTCCAGACCAATTGTTAACCAGAAAGCAGGCTGACCTTTTGAAAAAATGAAGTATTTAAACAAGGCTGAACAATTCACACATGTTTATCACATCTGTGAATGAAGCCTCAGACACCATTGGTATTCATTAGTGAGGCTGGGATAATACTCTTCACCAACATGCCAATTTTCTACTGATTTAGGTCATTAGGAAATTGGGAGTGATTTCTTTCTAAGTTTGTCGGATCAGCCACACCAGAGCATTTCTTCTCGGTGCAGACTTGGGCTGGCTCCACGCCACCATGTAACATTCAGGCATTTTATCAGCAAGTCACTGAACAACAATTTCCAGTCCACGCCCCAAGCTATGTTCAGATAAGACAGATAATGTGCAAGAGGATTGCACAGGCCAACATCCATGGCAAGACTGTGAATAAAACTTAGAGAAGCAGAGGTGAAAATGGGGCACGGTTGCAAAATGACAAGAGCCAGAGATAAAGACAGAGAGTGGATCCAAAAGTTGGTCAATGCTGAATTGTGTGAACATACAGGGACTAAACACAGAAGATAGTTGTAGCGCAAAACCAGGTGATTATTGCTTCATTTCAGGAACCTGGACCTAACAGATTTCAGACATTTGAGATACAGTAATGACTGTACATTTTCTTGACCTTGAAAGTGTTTGCTTTGATCTCTTTCCACTCGGAATTGGCATGGTTACCCAGGTACTTCTAGGAAGTGACATGTTTCCTATCTGTGGGCTCTCTTCTATGAGACTATGATACAGTGATGTTCCTTGCTTCATGTTTTTATTTTGTTTTGTTTTTCTCATGCAGGTTATTTTTCAAGGTCAAGTGATTTCAACTCATGCACAAGATGAAGTTATTGCTATTGATGATATATCTTTCAGTTCAGCCTGCTTGCCTGCAAATGGTAAGAACTTTTTCTCTCATTTTTATCTTTATTGTATATATTAAATTGAGTGTGACTTAAACATTGTAATGACTTTGATCTGCTCTTTATTTTTGCCTGATGTTTTAGCATGAGCTATTTTTCATTGTCCCACTACATTGTATAACAGTGACTGGATGTGTACTGGAAGTGTAGACAGGCTATTTTTCACTGACTCTGATGCTGTAAAGGACTGAATGGGATAATTTAGTCTGAGACTTAAAACCTTGTAGCAATGTTTACACTGGCTAGTTAAATATTAACAATAGAACTCCATGGCTTCTAGGAGACTGGCAGAAAACTGGTCTCAACAGACTTGAAATTGTCTTCTTGGAGAGTCAGTTTGATTATTTTGCTGAAAGACACAAAATGGAGAGAGATATTGGTTATAATCTATTTTCTATTTTGACTGAAACAAATAGATTGATAAACCACATATATCAGATCTAAAAAGTAATTCATATTGGCCCCTTGATGAACTTAACTGAATAATATCCAATTCCTCATTTACA